TTTTTTTTCAACATTTATTTATTTTTGGGACAGAGAGAGACAGAGCATGAACGGGGGAGGGGCAGAGAGAGAGGGAGACACAGAATCGGAAACAGGCTCCAGGCTCTGAGCCATCAGCCCAGAGCCTGACGCGGGGCTCGAACTCACGGACCGCGAGATCGTGACCTGGCTGAAGTCGGACGCTTAACCGACTGCGCCACCCAGGCGCCCCAAGCCATCATTCTTTCAAAGTCACGCTCGCTGGAGAACAGAAAAGGAAGGGAGAATGCATGTGTGTTTTTCAAGCCTGTGGCAGAAAATACTTGGGACCTCAATGCGCCAACACTTAGGTATATGTTAGAGTCATGAGCTTTCTCACCTCTACATGAACAGGAGTGAGTAATCCTGAGCTGACTTTCTTTACTCTCACTTATATTTAATGAGTTCTGTTTTGCAGCAGCACTAACACACAAACAAATCCACTGGACTCTGAGGCTAGAGATAGTAGGCACTGCAAGTCAAAACAGAGCAGTTCCATGGGCACAGACCTTCTGGATTTAGGTCTTCTTTGTATGGCCTGAGCAGACATTTGGTATAGATGCTCACTCATATACTGACAACAGACACAGCAGGTAACAGTCCTGGGTAGATGATGATCTGTGGAATATTGGGAAGGAGATGATTCACAGAAAATTGGGAAGAACTGAGTTAGGAGAGGGAGAAATAAGAACTACTGCTTTAAGTGACTTGCAAGTGAGAAGCAGTATTTTCATTTAATGTTGTTATACATAAAGACTTGAGCTTTTTTTTTTTTGGTCTGTACCAAAATAAGGATGGCCCAATGGCCCTTTACCCATCTACGAATGGGTGTCTATTTAAGATTGGCTCCTAAACAAGTACTCTTAACTTGTTGCAGTTTTGTGGATAAAGTGGCTATGAAACAAAGACACCAAAGGCAGTGTTCAGAGGAAATGTCTGTGTCTATCTCAAATACGAGGGTCCCTTCCAGTCATCACAAAAGAGAAGAGGTTGCCACCTTACATTTCCATCCTCACAAATCCTTTCATGTTATGGGGCATTCTCTGAATCCCTTTATTTTGAATGTCAGAGCACTGTTTAGGGTAAGTGACATTAGCTTGAAATTATCTCAATCAGTGCAAGTTTTAGATGCTCATAAAGCTTATCTGACACAATCGGTTAAAACATTTTTTTTTTATTTAAAAAAAAATTTTTTTTAACGTTTATTTATTTTTGAGACAGAGAGAGACACAGAATGAACGGGGGAGGGGCAGAGAGAGAGGGAAACACAGAATTGGAAGCAGGCTCCAGGCTCTGAGCCATCAGCCCAGAGCCCGACGCGGGGCTCGAACTCGTGGACCGCGAGATCGTGACCCGAGCCGAAGTCGGACGCCCAACAGACTGAGCCACCCAGGCGCCCCTAAAACATTTTTTTAAAATAGCAAAACTACACAGATTTAGTAATAATTCTTGGGTATGACTTCCAAATTGAAGACCTGGACGTTATTGTAAAACTCACCTTAAAAGCAGCATAGTAAATAGCAGTATCATTAAGGTCACATACAAGGGCTTACAGGACAAATGAAGACACAGAAACATAAAGTGTCCAAATGTCCAGCAAAAATGTAATTGAGTCTCAAGATGAACTTTCGGTGAAAGCATCATCAAGGATTCAAAGAATGATAAATCAAAACCAACCTGATTGAAGTGAAAGAATGTGCCTTGGAAAACCATGTCAGATGACATAGAAAGTGGCTCTAATGTTGATAAAAACCTGATGGCATGGTTGCATATGAAGAATTTGAATAAAATTTTCTTATATCATGTGAGAGTGGGGAAAAAGCAATACTTCTCAATTTTATATAACATGTGATTGAGTATGTAATGGGTACTACACATTTAATATAAAATATGATTTAAAATATAACACAATAGATTTAATATTCTAGTTTTTTTTTAATTTCATTAAGGTTGACCTAAAAATGTTTATTTGAACTGTCTCATTGTGAATTTGAATTGGTCACTGCACATTCAGAAGCATCATGTATTTGGTCACATGCATCATTTACGGCACTCTGACTTCACCTCAGTGTTGGCTTTAGCTTCTTATTAGCACTCTTCTCCTTTTGTGTCCTAGGCTCCAGGTGCAACATGCCCTGTGCCTGCCTGCGACCCCAGTCCCTCTGGCCAAGAGGAAACATATGACATCTATATCGGACTGAACTGCATATAGTTGTTATTCATTTGTGACTTTTAAGGCTTCTGGCACACTAGGAAGCAACCTAGTTTTCATGTCTTGTCTTCTTGTTGAGATTTTCTTAAAAGGATGTGAGGCCTTTACCACACACACATGACATTAAACAACATCTATAAAGCCAGAACAATGGTTATAGCAAGAAACATATGGGAGCTTCAATCTTCGCTGGTTGAGGCTGACTCTGAATAATGAAAGAAATGATGAGAATGTCAACAACTAATGAGATACTTTGCCAATTCATTGATTGAAATTATGCAAGGTTTTTTTTAATCCTTGCAAAATCCTTTCCTAACAAAGGCTAAAACACTATCAATAGCAATTAGTAAGCCCTTAAAGTTTCCAATTTAATCTAACAGAGCTGTCTCATGAAACTCATTGGAAAACATTGCTTCTTCTGAGAGCTAGATTCACTGTGTTGATGTGGATTTAAAGCACTAATCCTGGAGGAATTCCATACTGTGCACAAAATCAATTTCACAAACATGCATTTGGGAAGTCTGACAGTCTTAATATTTTCAAATGGAAAAATTATCCTACATTTTGACTCTATTATCCTTCAAAAAACTTTTTTGGTAACCATCTTCTGTTGTTTTAGAAGCAATTAGGCCAATTAAGCCTGACAGCATGATTTCAAGAGAGATGCTGTGCAAGTCCCTATCCACAATGAGAATTCGCACTGAAGCAAGGAACAGCTGATACATGCAAAGAGATGCAATTCAGGAGTGCTATCTATAAACTCCTTGCCCTTGGGGAGGATAGAGTGGAGTAAAAGATAATGATGATGATTTTGGATTCCTGTTTAGTCCTTTTCAAAGGGAGGAAGGTGTTTCAAGAAGCAGTTCCCACCAGCTATCGATGAAGAGACTTGGTATATGGAGCAAGTCTGTGACTGATGCATGAAAGGAAGAGAAAACCCACCAAAATTTCCTTTTTAGGTTACTATTCCAAAGAAAGATCCTCATCCCATAAAGTACAGAACTCTGAACAGAATAGTACTTATGGCAAAATATGTAATAAGGGGGTCTGTATTTTTATTTTGAAATCAATAAAAGTGTGGTTGATTTTATAAAGGCCCAAATTAAGTGTAATTGTGAAGTAAGTTCATTTTATGCCTGAATCATAACAGATAATACAGAAAAATATCCATACAATATTATGGTGAAGATATATTAACATGGTGATTGACAGTATTAGATTTTATTTGGGAAAACAGTATTGGGTTAAAACCATAGAGGACAGATAATTGTTTTTTGTTTTTTTTTTAATTCTCATAGTTAGAAATATACTTGCTTTGAAAACTCAGTAAACTCTCCACTGATCATGTTTTCAGCACTACTATTCATTCCTAAGTCTCTACCTGAAAAGACTGATGATATGCCTCAATTCCATGTTTCTTTTCTTCATTTGTTTTTTTCTATTGCTTAACAAGAATCAGGAGGAGGATGCACTGCTTCTATAAGGCAGATTCATTGGCTGTTGAACACTAAAAATAATGCCAGGGCTAACTGGGTGTGACTTATGGATCTGTGGTCCCAGATGTGAAGAGTGAAGCCACAGCTCCTCAGAAAAACTTGTTTTTCTTTAAAGACAGGCAATTTGACTCGTGATCATTCTTTGAAGCAATCTGCATTGGTACCTACCTCAGTTACAATAGCTAGGGGGCAAGTATTAGACAAAGATGACTCTTACATCCAAAACACATAAGAAATTGCATTATTAGCTTTTCTATAAATATGTAATAATGTTGGTTAATCCTAAATAGAAGAGGCAGTTTAGAAGATTATACTGCCAGACTTCTAGCTTAGGATAGAATTTTCCAAATTTAGCTGCTTTAGGATCACGTGGGAAACTTTCTAAGAATATAGCTTCCTGAGCCCCACCCCAAACTTTAGATCAAAATCTCTGCATTTTCAAAAAACTCCCTATCCTACATACTCTGGTGGTTTTGTGTCCCACAAAGCTTGAACGTTGCTGCTCTCAAGGGTAGTGCTGGAATGCCTTATGTTGCAAATCATTAATATTTTTTATGTCTATTACTTACGTGTAAACCTTAAGAACAAAGTCCTTTTCTTCCTTTAATTCTGTGAGCGACTGTAGAACATCCAGGATGCTTAGGACTGCACAGCCATATGGTCGCCGGTAGTGCAGGTGAGCAGGGCCTTTCTTTGAGTCATTCAGGAGCATCCGGCCTGGAGCACAGCAGGAAACACCAGTCACACTGAGAACTCCATGCTCCTTTCCAGTATCACCTGATTGTCATCCAAGGATGCCAGAAATATAGGTGCTAGCTTAGAGATACACTAAATCGGAAGACTAATTTAGGATTGAAGGGAGCCATCCGAGGATGCAGACTCTGTATGTGGAGGAATGCCAAACAGGCCTTTGGCCAGGGCTCTTCCCTTGCACCACATTCAATAGATCATACTTATTATCTACCTTAATACCAACAATCCATTTATTAATAATATTAGAATGAAACAGTGGTTTTACAAATTTCTTAGAAAAACCAGTGTGTTAACAGACTTAAACTTCTTAGGCATATTAAGGATACAAAGTTTAATGTTTTAGCTGCCAGGTAAAAACTATGTATGCAAAGATAGTAACAACGTGTTATTCTTCCAACCAAACAACCATATGTTATTCTTCCAGCTGCTCCTGAACCACTGCTGGAGCCAAAGTAGTCTCAGAAAGTGAATGGGAGCTTGCCTCTCCTGCCTACCAAGGCTGTGCCTATAGTGGCAAGAGGACTTGCAAAAACCAAACTGGAACCTCAGCAAATGCTTATGAAGTACAGCAAAACAGAACCCAAAAGTATAGCAAAATAGGTGTTTTGTTGGCAAAGGATTAAAAAATATTCTTTGACAAAAATGTACAAGATATGCCAGAACCCAAACCTATCAAGGAAGACTTGGTTAGTCATACCCTCCAAATTATGTCATACACCTGAAATAAAGCTGAGCAAATCAACCACGGAACAGTAGCAAAAATCACTGTTTTCATCTTGGGTGTGGTAAAAGTGATATACTATACATCTACTGCAGCAAGGACAGTAATTTACTGGAAAATAGCACAGATACATACTTTTGGATACAAAATCCAACAAAGGCCATTCACCACCAGTTAAGTTGGCAAGCCTGCAACCCGCTGTAAGATCTCTGAAATGGAAAGCTGGTACAAAGGCAGGGCATTGTGATAGAAAGAATATGAAAAATCAGACCCCTTGAAATAAAGAGCTTGGGTCCAAAACCAAGTAGGGAGCAGAAGATTTTAAGTGAAAAAAATACTTTCATTTATGTCAAATTCATAGCTACCAGAGCAGCTGAGCCTAAGGTAGAGTTCCAATACAAGCTAGATGCTCATCCTGAGACCTGACATTGTAGGTAAGAGCTAGGGAGATGATAGAGTTCAAACATAGTAGATACTTATCCCAAGGTGGACTGGTCTTAGTCATGTGAACGGATAAGGTCAACAGTACCTATTCGTATCACATGCGCAACTATATATAAATCTCTCTTCATATCTTTGCTGCTCAGATCCTAAAGAAAGAAAAGAAAGCAAGTAAATTAAGGTAATAAATACACAGAAAATAATAAAAATTCATTTTGAACCTCATAATCATTTGCCTTTGTTGCTTTTAGCAGATGTTATAGATGGGGAGGGGGACTAAAGCACATAGAGGTTTAGTGTTTATAAGATTCCTGCAGTGAAAGTTTGAATATCTTATATGCCTCTGGGAGTTTATCTTATTGATAATATTTTTCCAGCTTTTATTGAGAACACCCAACAAATATCTACAAGAGTTTTCACATTATAAATCATCTTGATATTGCCTTATCCATGTTTATTCTAATATCACATGAAAATATAACAAAAGGAGCGTTCAATGCAGGAAAAAAATGGGAAAACACCAATCAGCTTATTAATGACTAAAATTCTAAGTTTATTCTTTACTAATTTTATGTTTGTTCTTTTGTCCACAATGATTATTATACAGTAGATATGTTCCCTTGCGAAGAGACTAATTTAGCCTTAATGAAACCTCAATAATTGGATGTCCATTTCTAACTTCAGATATGCATCATCCATACTGAAGTATAATGCTGAAAATAATCTTATCTGGAAAATTCTAAGGGCTTCCTATAAGTAAACAAATCTGATCAAGTCAGGAACTTATAAAATTAGAGTTATGAAAATGATTTTATACATTAAGTTATTTATGCTAAGAACACATTTTGAAATAAAAATTATCATTATAAAAATCATGATTATGTATTTATACTTCAATTGTACTTAAAGTAATAACACACTCTTTAATATATACTCTGTTTCAGACTTTTCACCAGGTCAACAACCACTGCTCACTCTGAGATACTGTTGTGAATTCATAATGATTGATGGAATAACCTGTCCTTAATGGGACAGGTTTCCAAGATTTCCCTTTTGCTTCTAAAGAAAAGGTCCCTCCGTTTCCTTTCCTTCCTATCTTTCATCTTCTGATTGGTCCCCTTTGCTTTTTTCTTTTTAGTAAATCCAGGAAAGGGACAATCAAGTGACAGTTATAATTTCGAATGAGCTTTGAGATCCAGAGTCTCCATGTTTGCTTTATTTTTATACCTTGTTGCAGGGTTAGGACCAGGGTGAGGCAAGCAAGGCATCTAAGGTGCAAAGTTTAATAAGGAGGTCTCACTCTCAGGGTCCTGGGCTTTGCTTGCCTCCCCGCAGTCCCAGCTCTACCCTATGGAGTGGGCCAAAACATACCAAAGGAAAGGAGACATTAAAAAGTAATGTGCAAGGGTGAAACTGAAACTTTTAGATTCTCGATGGTTATGATGTTTCACCAAATTCTTGACGGAATAATGAAACGTGCTTGTAATGAAATAGATTACAAAATAATTTAACATGAGTTGGTATCTCTGGAAACACTAAGAAATATTTTTACATGAAAGATGTCTTTTGATATTGAAAAAGTATGGTTCAGGTTCCATTTCACCAATTTCTTTAATTTAGAAATGTAATTTAAAACGACATCCTCAAAATATCACTGTATTTTGACACATTAAAAATGGCTACTAAATAACAAATAAAAATTATAAAACAGATTACCACTTATATGTGTTTTTTTGGGGGGACTGAAATATATCTATTTACTGAAAGACATAGAAATGTTTGACACATTTCAAAATGAAATGGTTCCTTCTACATAGCTTGGACTGTGTTAATCCAAACTATCAAATAGCCAGTTTAATTACTAATCCCTACATCTCAGAATTCAAGTCAGTTACCAAAGATGATCAAACAATAATCAGATCAGCTGTACACATGAGCACAGGACCTCTCTCTTGGCTCTTAGTATGTGGAAGAAAGAAAACTTAAATACAGTTTATGGTATTGTCCAAGTAGTTCCAAGTAGGGGCCCTTTCTGACCATGTTGTACATGGTACCCAGAACTCTGTGTGGTATTTATTTGAAGTGAATAAATACGTAATGGTAATATTCAGTACAAAAAAACCATTTTAAGTAAAATTATTGTCAGTCCCACATAATTTCAATGTCAAATTTCAATGTGAAAGCTATCACATTAAACATAAGTGTATGGTTAAACACAGTTAACACAGAGTTAGTAAACATACAGTCGTTAAGACTAAGTACCAAGTATGACTATCCAGGTTAAAATACTTACAAGTCCTGTAAAACCAAGATGGGAGGAGAGATTCCCACCATTCATCTGGTGAGCAGAATAAGAATTTAGATTTACTCATTGGAGCATATATACTCCAATCCTACTCGGGGTTCAGCATCTTAGACTCAGTTAATGATGTTCCATTTGAAACATGGAAAAGTCAACTCACTTTCCTGTGCCTGAACTGCCCTTCTTCTGTAGAGATAATGGGATTTACAAATATAAAACAAAGCCAATTTATTCATACTTATGCTACAGAAGAAGCAGAAGAGTATAAATAAATGTAGAAAATCTAATGCCAATGAAAGCAGGGAAAACAGCACAAGTTCATTTTCTGACTTGGTCACTCAAATATAATAAAAAATGAACATATTCATTTACTTATGTAACAAATCATTATGGAGGCCCTAGTATTTGCCAGGCACTTTGTGTGAATCACTGGGTATTGAATAATGAGTAAATTCACAGACATGTTCTCACACACTCATACACTCATAGCCACTGTTTATCATGAAAGTTAGCAAAATCCTCACAGTATTAGACATTCACATAAATATGAAACACCTCCTTCTTGATAAAATTCTTCCCGGACAGGAAGCTCTGAAATCTAACAAGGTCAGAAAAAAAAACACAGGTTTTACAGAGAACAGGGTTGAACCATGAGTAATGTGCTGGTCTGTAATGTGGCTCTGAAGTCTGCTTATGTAATCCTGCAAAACTGCAGTTTGTATGGTTCTCTCTTCTTGATGTTGAGGTAAGCTAACAGGCTGGCATCGACCACAGCTTTGGCTGCATTTTTGTGCATTTACTCTCAAACTTTGTAGCACATATGCCAATCTTTAAAACTCCTTTAGCTCACTGGAGGAACTCAAGTCTTAAGTGAGAAAATAGGTTCCACCAAAATTATTACTTCATATAACTTAAAGTTAAACATGAAAATTCTGGCTAAGACGATCTTGTTCAAAAATTTCATGTGCTTTGTAAAAATTTCTCAAATCACTTCTTGGGATCTTAAAAAAATCCAGGGCTATAGTGCAAAGGGAAGTAAGTGGTATTTTTAGCAGCCTTGTGTCTTCCCATTGTGGCAGAATAAGAGCACATCATGAGTGTTATGTGCATCTTTGATTTATAAAGTCAGAGTACAGCTTAGGCCTCTGGGCCAATATAGATAATTAAAACGCTGCGAAATGAAATTTTTGATTTACTGTAATTACATTGAAACATCATCATAATTAAGTTCATTTTTCAAGAGACAAGGACTGCACTCATGATATTCAAGGATAGCACATGCACAAAGCTCTGATGCCAAAGAACAAGGAATCAATGATTTCTTTTGCTGCTTTAACCAAATAATATCAGAGAGCCAGGATCCAGAAAGACCTCCTATAGTCACGGAGGCATTGTAGACAGATGAGTGTCTCATTTCTTACTAATTGTTTCAGAAAAATGGCCCCAGAGGATTATCTCAGTGTTTAGACACTCTCACTTCAGAAGCTCTCCCCCAATATTCTAACCTAAATCCAAGGAACTGCAACTTGTACTTTTTCCCTTGTTCTTTCCTACTGAAGAAACAGTGTTGATTTTCCCAGACTAAACCACTGCACCTCCCTTAACTGCCTTCATAGGTCTGCTTTACCTGCTTTCTTCCCGTATTATCTCCTAAGCTTTAGGAGATTCAAAGATGGATTAAAAAAATCACTTTATCTTTACTAGTCTTATAAATCTTTCTGTATATCTGGAGCATTTTCACTAGAAGCTATCCCCGTGAAAGTGGCTTCTGATTCTGCAGTAACATTGAGATTTTGAAAGATAAAGTTGTGGTAAATGAACAAAAAAGTCAGGTAAACAAATCCAATTTTATCTTTCAGAGGAAGTCACATATCGGATCCTTAGATAAGTCCCACTTGTGTTTAAGAGGCACAATGTAAGCTCTGAGCTACCTGACTGTCACCTATCAACCATGCACCACACGTAAGGGCAATGGCACTGTGAGACTATCACACCTCCTTTCATTAATGGGTCTTAATGTATCTCAGTATCACTGAAGCAGATTAAAGAATCCGTGAGAGTCAAAACTGGTTTAAAATTGTAACATAGTCTTGTTTTTTCCTTTAGCAAATAAATTAACTGAAATAAACAAAGCTGAACACTTAGTTTTTTAACTAAATAAAAAACATTTAGTAAATCAGAATCAACCTGAAGAATTCATAAGGCAACGTGGTATTGTGAGACTGAGCACTTTCCATAAGCAGATTAATAAGACTTCTCTGAGCTGATGCCTATGGTCTTAGAGACCATCAATGATAGCATGGTTATTTGGAAAAAATGAAAGTATAGATAATAGCAGGAAAAGACCCTCCATTTGGTATGTGAGAGAGATGAACTACTTAGTTTGTCTCTCTTTCTATGCACTCTGCACTCACTAAAAAACTGCAAAGCTATAAATCTGGTGGATGCCTTTAGAGAAACTATACTTCTACATCAGAGAAATTCCCAGTGGCCTTAAATAAGAAAAGTAAGAAAGACTTCTCTCAGGTTTTGTCTATTCTATTAAATAGCTTATAAAATCTACACTAGTAAAATGTATTTGATTATATTTCTTTAACAAAAAGTTCAATTAAAAATTGTGGTTGATTTCAGTTTTCTTTAAATATTTCATTAAAACCTGATAGAAACATAAATCAAGTCCTATTCTCCCCAGTGTGTGGAGAAGAATAAATGCTTGTTTCCAGGGTGACAATATCCACACAGGAGGCCCCTGGCTAGAGTCAACAGCAGTGAAGGGAAAGAGAATTTGCACATACTGTAAAAAGGGCACACATTCGTTCTATCTTCTCTGGGTTCCTTGGCCCACCATTCTTGTTCAGTCTCACCAGAAACCGCTCACTGAAATGTAGGAGAGAGAGACAGAGAAATGTAAGGGACCACATGCTCCAAAACAAATAAAAAGGGCATTTATAGAGAAACCCTAAACACTTTCAGAACAGCTCATAGTGACAGGCAAGGCCAAAAGTACATGTCTAATGGCAAGACACTATTTTTCTTGCCAAGCAGCATGCACTGGACACTATAAACTACCTAACAGCTGTTGTTTATTTGCTGGTTGTGGCTCTTCTCTCGCTAAAGGTGTGTGCTCCCTGAGGGGCAAAATGAAGATAGTATCTAGTATTTTTTTCCAAATACACCCAAAGCTCCAGTCATAACTCTAAGCCCATAACAAACATACACATTCTCTGATTGAACCATGGATCATAAAAATGTTCATCATACTAGAGCCAAAAGAACCTACATTACCCAGTTTACGTCTTCCTATAAAACTCTTAAGAATAATTTTAGTACTAAAAAAAAATGTTATAGGGACTTACAAAAATTTGGGCAAAAAGTCAAAGAGAAATAATGTATTATAACTAAAGTTACCATCGGCATTTAATGGGGTCATTAAAATATTTTATTCCCCAAACAACACAGTTATTCCTTAATTCCTGAAGGAAATTACTGGATTAAAAAACCTGAGACAGAGTGTTTGTGACATCTGGAGAGGTGTCTCTTCACTCTCTCACTGTAGCCTGCTCCTGCCCAGGCTCAGTTTCCCACCTCTTCATCCCAAGGCTCCCCACCAACTGCAACAGGAAAACTGAGCCATGGCAAAGACTAAGTATGTGATTCTAATAGTAATTTATTTCTCCTGTGCCCACAGTCATGTACTCACTACATACATGTGGTATCAGTAAAAAGGTAAATATTAAAATATTGTACTAGAATTAATATCAACTTCATAGGTTGCTTACTTTGTTCATGTATTCATCTGTTCATTTAGTCAACAAATAGTTGTTAAATTCTGTGTGCTAAACATGGGAATACAAATGGGAACAAGATACATACAAGGTACTTTTTTTCATAAAGCTTGTGGTCCTGGTAGACAATTAAATATGCATAAATGAAGCTGAGAAATTATTTGGGCCAGATGTAAACTTGAGATTTTTTTCAGCCAGGGGATTGGATGGGAATAAGGAGAAGATGTACACAGAAGGAGAAGAAAAAAAACGGCTTTGGTTGGAATCCTGAGGGACATTGATATTTAGGAAGTAGGCAAGAGAAATACAGCTAGCAAAGTAGACAATGGGGACAAACAGAAAAACAACAAAAATAAGGAGGATGGTAGGATGTTATGTCAGTCAAGGGAAGAAAATGTCCAAAAGAGGAGGGAGGGATCATTGAGGTCAAAGGCCATTGAGAATCAAATGAGTGAAGCACAAGAGTGTCCCTGACAGTTCAGAAAAGAGACTAATGTGATTCTTGCAATAACTGTTTTAGTGGAATGGTAGAGAAAGAGCCCAGTGTGAGAAGTAAGAAGTGAGAAGGCAGAAACAGTGAGTCTAGACTACTCTTCAGTGAAAAACTATGAAAAGGTGGAAGTGATGAATTTATAGCTGAATGGGCATGTTGGGTTGAGGGAGGTCTTTATTAACATGTGTACACACACACACACACACACACACAATTATCAATAAAGGCACCATAATTCATCAAAGGAGCATAGTAATTTCAACAAATCATGCTTAACAATCTATATGAAAAAAACTAAACTGTGATCCTTGCCTACAACGCAATTAACTTGAATGGATCATAGACCTAAATATAGGAGCTAAAACTATAAAACTGTAAGAAGAAAACACAGGAAAAAAATGAAGACAAGTACATTTTTATATTTTACTCACATTTATTATTTCTATATTTAGCATTAAAGAAAAATATTTGTGATCTCAGATTATTAAGAAAATATCATGAATCACAACAAAATGATAAACTGTACTTATCAAAATTAAAACCATCTTCTCTTAGAAAGATACTCTTAAGAAAGTGAAAAGACAAGCTATAGACAGAGAAAATATTTACAAACACTCATCTAAGAAAGGACTGTATGGAGAACACACTATTGAGTTCTGAGAGTTCTTTATAAGTAATAACTCAATTTAAAAATGAACAAAATATTTGAACAGATCTTCACCAAAGAACATACAGGGATAGCAAATAAGCTTAAGAAAACATTAATCATTAGAGAAACGAACATTAAAAGCACAGTGAGGTACCACTATACACCTATTAGAGTGGCTAAAACTAAAGATTAGATATACCAAGGACTGGTGAGAATGTAGAGCAACTAGACCTCTCATAAACTGTTGAGGGAAATACAAAATGGTACAGCCACTTTAGAAAATAGTCTGAGAGTTTCTTATGAAGCTAAACATATTACATGACCCAACAATTCTACTTTTAGGTATTTACTCAGCAGAAATGAAAACTTATGTCCACACAAAGACCAAAAGTGAATATCTGTAGCAGCTTTATTCCTAATAGAAACTGTAAAGAACCCAAATGTCCAAAAGGAAATGATTGGACAATCCATATAATGGAATATCCACACAATGGTGGATTATATATATATTATATAAAATATATAAATATTTTTATTTATTAATAAAATATATAATTTTATATTAATAAAAATATATACTACTTCACAATAAGAACTACTGAGATATATAATAATATGGATGAATCTCAAAAATGTATGCTAAGTGAAAGAAGCCAATCAATCACAAAAGACCATATATTGTATATCTTCACTTATAATCTAGAATAGGCAAAACTGTAAGGATGGAAACCAGATCAGGAGTTGCCAGGGTTGAGGAAGGAGGGCAGGGATTGACTGCAAAGGTGCATGAGGGAAATTTCTGGGGTGATGAAAGGTTCTACTTCTTGAATATGGTGGTGGTTTCACAACTATAAATTTGTCAAAACTCATCAAAGGATGTATTAAAAAGAGTGAATTTTACTACATGCAAATTACAGTTCAACAACCTGACTTCAAAAAAAGATGGGATGCACCAAAGGACACTTACTTCTTTTTTTTAAAATTGTTTTTTAATGTTTATTTATTTTGAAGGAGAGGGAGTCCGAGCACAAGCAGGGGTGGGGTAGAGAGAGAGAGGGAGACACAGAATCCGAAGCAGACTCCAGGTACTAGGCTGTTAGCACAGAGCCCGACACAGGGCTCAAACTCATGAGCTGTGAGATCATGACCTGAGCTAAAGTCAGATGCTTAACCGACTAAGCCACCCAGGCACCCAAGGTAACTTATATTAGGACAATGTTAGAAGAAGATGAGATACTGAAGACAGAGGAAAGACAGAAAATAATTGGCAAAGGAAAAAAAGGTTCCCACGTCCTAGAAGAACTGAGAGAATCAAGGAAAGAATGCAGGAGGAAACAATAGGTGTAGATACAAATAAGCTTCAACCTTCCATTACTAAAACTACAAACTTATCAGAGAAACAGGAAACAAGCACATCAAAGTAACATTTTTCTGTTATTGTAGTTGATCTATCCCAACATGTGTATAATGCATTTAACAACCACCCAGTTAGCTCTTAACTTGATACAGGAGTATAAATGTATTTTTAGGAAGTTTATGTCTTTTCAAGAGAACGTATCATTACTTCTGCATCTTTGAAGGAACACCTGCAACGGCTATACTCTCACACTACCAATCTGTGAATCTCTCAAGGGCAGACGTCTATCAGGGAGGTTGCTGTTGGGAGCTGCTAGATACCCACAGAGAGGTGTGTCGTTTGGAGAGGCGACATCAAGCTCTGGCCCAAAGATAAAAGGGTATATAAAACAAATTCCTGAGTGGCAGGGTTGCTGGTCCTATCAGAATCCAAGAACTTATCTTTCTCCTCAACAGTGAGAGGAGGCCCGAGTTCTTATAGTGCCCACATGACCTTCAAATTTCCTAGAGCCTTTCATGCTTCTGGTTTCACCTAGCCTTCTTCACAATTTGTGAAAAAAAGAACTGTTTTTTCATTTCGTGGAGCTTTGGGAATACATCTAATTGTTTCCTGTTTTGCTAGCTTCTCAGGTATGATAAACAAATGATGCTTTCTTTTTTTTAAATTTTTTATTTAATTTACTTTTTAAATTTACATCAAAGTTAGTTAGCATACAGTGCAACAATGATTTCAGGAGTAGATTCCTTAATGCCCCTTACCCATTTAGCCCCCCAACCCCCACCCCCCACAACCCCTCCAGTAACCCTGTTTGTTCTCCATATTTAAGAGTCTCTTATGTCTTTGTCCCCTCCCTGTTTTTATATTTTTGCTTCCCTTCCCTTATGTTCATCTGCTTTGTATCTTTAAGTCCTCAAATGAGTGAAGTCATATGATATTTCTCTTTCTCTGACTAATTTCACTTAGCCTAATACCCTCTAGTTCCATCCACGTAGTTGTGAATGGCAAGATTTCCAAATGATGCTTTCTATTAACATTCAAAGTATCTGAAGGCAAATATCTATCCAATGTTTCCTGAAGTGGTCAAAAAAGCGGGAAATTCTGAATTAAATACAGTTAAACAGGTGTATATCCTCTAGGACTTCACAGAGGCTTAAAATGTTATATGTTTTAAATACCAAGTGGGACAGGTGACATTTGACCCCACAAGCTGCTTTTGTGTAAGGCAAGGGAATCTGTACAAAGTTTGACAAATGCTGATCAAATCTATTTGCCAACCGGAGCTACAGACTTCCCAAAGGTATGAAAGGAGCTGTGGCCAAAAGAGTAAAATTTATTCTTGAGGTTTTACAAACATCTTCTATAAGAGAGCAAAATATCAGTTTTTCCCTTAAATATGGGTGAGAAAACTCCAATTCTTTCAAAAGAAAAAAAGAGATGGTGTTAAATTCTTACTGTTTAATAGGCAACATTATAAGAGAGCTTCTCTGTATTTAGTTGTCTTTATGATAAGCTATGCATGAATAGTATATGAAGCTACATTAATTTCATAACTTCACATTATTGAGCAAGTTGCTACAAATGAATTCCATAATT